GGAGAGGCTCTGGTGGTCAGGACCTCTGCAGGTCTCCTTGCTTCATAAGCCAGGGTCATTCTGTGCACCAAGTGACCTCTCTTGGAATGCAGTCTGACAGAAGGCTTCGCCCTCTTCCATCTAATAGAGGATCTTCAGGAAGCAGGAGGCCCTTGGAGGTGCGGACAGCAGCTGCCACCAGGCTCTGTCCCTGCCCCTCTCCTTGCAACTCCGGAGGGCAGACGAGACAAGACCAGCACTTGGAGACACTGTCTGATCAGCAACTTGAGCAAAAACTTAATTGCTTCCCTGAACCTGAGAAATATCAAACGGCATAAATAAATGTGCCTTAAATTATTAATCAAGGCATTTACATCTCGAGTTTGGGGCATGAAAATTAATTTAATTTCTTATGCTAAACTGCCTGGTGAGGCACGTGGTTTCAGGATTGGGAGATGCCAAGGGCAGAGGAGAGGAGGAGGATGGGGTGTGTGCTGGCTTGGGCATTTTGTACTGAAAAAGCTCAAAAACAGTAAGACGGGATGGCTGGAAAGGAAAGGGAGGAGAAAGCTTACACAGACCCAGATACTCACTGCTTCTGTCACTGAGAAAACAGCGCTTAGCTCTCAGAGCCACCCTCAAGGACCCTTACTGTGAATGAATGAACTTTGGGACTTTGGCACGCCTGGGTTTGTATGAAGAGAGAGTTCCTGGCTTTCAAAGGCAGGTGTGATTCAGTTCAAACCGCAGTGGGCTCATCGGGTGGGCTTGGAAAGTCGGCCCAGACCATCAGCTGGTATTGGGGGAGCGGCCCGGAGCCCCAGTACCTGCTGGCATTCTCCTCATTGCTCTTCTTCCTCTGACAGCAGATGATACAGCTCCCCCTGTGTCTGCATCCCAAGGTGGCCACTTCCTGGGTGAGAATCCATGGTTCAGGCTGTTTTCTCTGAGCATCTCTCTGTGCTGTAAAATAGGTTAGTAAGGCTGGCTCATGGTTGTACAGATGTAACTGGTGTTTAGGGACTGCTGAGCTGATGGTATGCAGGTTTGGTATCAGTAAAGAGAGAAGGAAGAGCTGATGGGAGACTTCCTCCACTCCAGGCCCTGGGGCCAATTGGGGCTTTGAGATGGGCAAGCTTGAGAGTTGAAAGTCCAGGGCTTTGAAGACCATGGGAGCTGGTTTTCTGGGAGCATGGAAACAGCCTGTGGTCCAAGGTGGAGAGAAACCTCTTTTTCTCCTCTGCCCTGAAGAAGTCTGTTCACACTCTGGGAGAGCGGGTGGTCTCACAAGAACCACACAGCTAGGGTTGGACACAGACCAGGCCTGAGGAAAGGAGAGGAAGGACTACAGGACATCCCACAAGAGCTGCTCGGGCCTCCAGTCTCTAGAGACACGAGGGAACGCCTGTTCCCCACCCCACTATGGGGTGGATGAGTGACTGCTCTGACCCAAGGCTAGATGCCCGAACTGCATCCTGGGAAAGCCAGGGATAGATGTTGATGCTTGTCAGCTCCCTTTCTAGTGCCTTCTACGCCCAGTTTCTTTCTTTCTTTCTTCCTTCCTTCCTTCCTTCCTTTCTTTCTTTCTTTTTTTTTTTTGTTTTGTTTTTGTTTTTGTTTTTCGAGACAGGGTTTCTCTGTGTAGCTTTGTGCCTTTCCTGGGACTCACTTGGTAGCCCAGGCTGGCCTCGAACTCACAGAGATCCACCTGGCTCTGCCTCCCGAGTGCTGGGATTAAAGGCATGCCCCACCACTGCCTGGCTACGCCCAGTTTCTGTGTCGTTATGGATGTCCATCTTCACACGAGTCAGGAATTCACATTCCAAACTCTAACTCCCAAATGCCCTTGGACACAGGATAACCAAGACCAAGATACCGACTTCCACCAAACATTACTTAACATGTCTCCATGCCTTACTCACTCAAGCCCTAACACCTTGAAAAGTAGTAGTCCTACTTTACAGCAAGGTAAAACAGAGACCCAAGGAAAACGGTGTGCTCCGGACACATGGCTTCTTAATCATGAGCGGAGGTGAATGCTAGGGGCTTACCACTCAGTCTCCTGGTGTAGCAGAGGGTCCAGCTGGCTCCAGGCTAGTCCCAGCAATACACTTTCTCTCTCTTCCCCTGCTTGTCTTCTTCTTCTTCAAAAACAAATTCTTCAGTTGAAATCCATATAAAATAAAATGATCTAAACTGATGAATTCCCTTGGCATTTAATGTAGCCACAATGTTGCATAACTTCCACCTGGTTTACTACTCTAAAATTATTTATTTTTCCAGCTTGGTTGAGGTGTAATTGACAAAACTTATATATATTTAAGGCACAAACATATCTATACAGTGATGTGAAGGCCATCACCAGGCTAATTTCTCCATCCCCTCCTCTCCTCTCATAACAAATGGGAAATCTACATAATTAACTACAGTCCTCATGCCACCCATTGAGCTTCCAGAACTTACCACGGAACTGAGAATCTGTGTCCCTTGTCCACATCTCCATCTCCCTCACCGCAGGTCCTTGCAATCACTCCGTTCCTAGGAGTTCGACTTTAGAGCCCACAGACAGGGAGGACCATGTGGCTCTTTGTCTGTACCTGATTTATTTTTGCAACCCTCCAGGTCTCCCCCACTACCGTGTTTGTGGTGTGGTGTGTGTGTGTGTGAGTGTGTGTGTGTGTGTGTGTGTGTGTGTGTGTGTGTGTGTGTGTGTGATTTTATCTTTTTCTCTCTCTTCCCTTGCTGATGGCTATCAAGGTTGTATAAGCCACACTGAGTTGAGGAATCTCTCTCATTTCATTTGGCTGGATATTCAGAAGTGAGATTACTCATTTGTATGTAAGTTCTGTTTATACTTTTTGAAGGAAACTGTATACTATTTTCTGTCAGCCAGCCCTCCCTGTAAACAGCGACAGTTGCTGGTGTTTTGCAGCTAACAGTGTGCCACTCACAGCCCCAGAACTGTGTGCTTTGCCTGCCAGTGATTACAAATCCATGTTCTCATGTAGACAGACTGTAGTTCAGAAAGTCCAGCCTGTAACCCTTTATTTCAATGAGTAGAGGTCTCGGCACTCCAGCAGCACCCCCAAGCCACAGTCCCCACTGACAAATCCAACTTGAACATCTTTTATACAGACTGGACACACTCAACTTACAGAGTTCTGTGGACACCCAAAGACAGGTCACCCAGCCCCTGGCACAGGAGTGGCCTCTCAGGACTAAGGATGTAGCTCGGTTGGCAGAGTACCTGCCTAGTGTTGGGCCCCGAGAAATCACATAAAATGAGCATGGTGGCACTTGGGAGATGGAGGCAGGGGGACCAAAAGTTCAAGGTCATCCCTGCCTACATGATGAATTTAGGGCCAGCCTGCATTGCATGAAATCCTATCTCAGAACAAAAAGAAGTGACCTCTTAAAAGACATATGTTCCCTTTCCTAGGCCCCAGGATTTTACAACCTGAACAGGGACAGGACAGAGATGAGGTGACTGGCCACCGAGAACAGAGGAAGAAGGGCCCAGGCTCAGCACTGGGCAGGAACTGGCCTAGCCTTGTCACCGCCTCCAGGCTAGTGCCCATGCCAGTCCCTGAGCCCAGGCCCACTCCTACCCGTGATTTCCTGTCTGTCCAAAGGGCAGCACCAGCCGGGCCTTTTCCTCATTATTTCTACTTCTGCCGCAAATGATTCCCAACACCCATCGTCTCTGCCTTTTGCTGCTCATCCCCTGCGCTCACGATGGTTGGAAAGGAGGGAGTTTGGGGTTCGTTGGATGCAGGGTGAGCCGGCAGGTGCACTCGAGCCCATGGGGGCATTGACCAGATTTCTCTGTCTGACTGCCCGAAGAGTGACAGTGTCATGGCCCCTCCCACAGTGACTATGAGGAGCAAGGAGACACCGACAGCCACCTCTGCCTCACGTGGGTTGTCATGGTTCCAGTCACTGCTGCTGGCAAACTCCTGTGTCCCTCCAGCAGCAGCTGCTATGAGAGTATCTGAAAGGAACGGGGCCTGGGAGAGGGCTCTGTTGGGGAAGTGCCTGCCACGTGTCTTGGTTTCTTTCTTGCTGCTATAGCAAAACACCCTGGCAAACGCAATGCAAGGGAGAAAGGTCTCGTCTTGGTTTACAGTTCCAGAGGGTACAGCTCAGCATGCTGGGAAAGTCACAGCCGTGGCAGTGGGGGGCTGCTGCTACGACGCACCTGAATTCAGGGAACAGAGCATGAACAGGGAGTGGGGCCAGCATTTCATGTTTCAAGAACCACCCTTAGCGACTCACTTCCTCCAGCAAGGCTCCCCCCCCCTAAGGGTTCCATGGCCTTCCCAGATAGGACCACCAGCTGAGGACCAAGTGTTCAAACACACAAACGTATGGGGGACATTTCACATTCAAACCACACCACCATACAAGGATGAGGACCTGGGTTCGGGTCCCCAGCTCCCAGGTAAAAGTGGGGTACAGTACTGCTCATCTAGAGTCTGAGGACGGGTAGATCTCAAGCTCCCTGGTCAAAGTAAGCAAGGTAAAGAGCAACCAAGGAAGATGTCTGATGTTGCCCTCTGGGCTCTGCACGAATGTGCACACTCACACACACATAAACAGGTGTGTGCCTGCCTACACAGAGATAAATAACAAACTAAATAAAAAAAGGGAATTGAGATAATTTATCTCTAATTTATTCTCAACTACTAGCCTCCCTAATTTCCTTTGGGGGAAAAAAAAAACAAATTGTAACACTGTCTTTCAAAAAAGTGTCTTAAGGGCCATAGACTGGGCTCAGTGGTTAAGAGTACTGGCTGCTCTTCAAAGGACCCAGGTTCCATTCACAGAACCCACATGGCAGATAACAACTATCCTTAACTTCAGTTCCATGGGATCCAACGCCCTCTTCTGACCCCCAAGAGTACTGCACACATGTGGGGTACAGACATACATGCAGACAAGACACACACATGAAATAAAAAGAAACAACCCTTTTTAAAAAGAATGTGTTGTAAATATAATTTTTGTTAGTGTTTATTAAAAACTGTATAACCTCAGGCAGAATTTATTACGCTACAGAGGTGGTTGGGTTATCATCAATCTTTAGGTTTTATGACAATCCAGGGTCCCTCTTCGTAATTATAGTACGAAGTAAATATTTATGTCCATTTTATAGGATGCGGAAAGCAGTCTGGTATTTCACATCACTGTGGACATTTACGGCTGCTGCTCCCTTTGTGACGCACAGCTGGTCACTGCCTTGATTCAGATGTCACTGAGTCATTTGTCTGGAACTCCGTTTATAGTTGCTGTGTGGCCATTTTGGAGCGATGCCTTCCATCTCAGAGATCATTTGTGAAATCATTATTAGCAGAAGTGGGGTGCTCCGGAATGCCAGGCGTGCCCAGATTCCCATTGAAGCTGGGATTTGGGAAATCATGTTTTCTCAGAAAGGGTTTTAACAGTGCGTCAGAATTTTCAGAGACTGGGGAAGGAGCTCAGTTAGTAAGTGCTGGCTGAACAGTGAGGATGGGTTTGATCCCCAGAATCCTCAGGTAACAAGAACTGGGTGTAGTAATGAGCACATGTAATCCAGGCACCGGAGAGGGAGAGGTGGGAGGATCCCTGGGCTCGCTGGCCAGTCGGTCTAGCCTAATTGGTCAGTAAAATGCCAGTGAAGAGACCCTGCACCAAGACAAAACAACAACAAAAACAAACAAATACCAGGGTGGGAAGCCCTTGAGGAGTGATCCCTGAGAGTGTCCTCTGGCCTCTATGTGCATGCCCACACGTGAATGTGCACACATGCACACATAGAAAGCACGTGTGTACGCGCACACGCACATAAACACACACACACACACACACACACACACACACACACACACACACACACTGGGCTACCTGTCAGCCTCTGTGCCATCCTTCTGCGTTCCCTAAAGCTGCACATGTGCTTTGGTCAGAGGACAAGGGACAGCAAGGACCAGGACCCACCCTTACTGGTTTCCAAAGTCCTCATCCTAGGTCTCGATGGCATGATCCCAGCCCTCAATGGTCTTGTCCTTTCTCCTTCTCTCAGCCCTAAAGCTTCTGGGCCCAGTTCTTGGTGAGGCTGTGAGGTCTGGTACCTGGTCCCTACCTTCCTTACCTTGTGGCTGTGAGCAAGTCACCTCAGCTTCCTCAGCTGTAAAGCAGGGGGCGAATGTCTCCTCTGTGGCATTGTGACGTTGTATGAGAGCGATTTGTGACCTGCCGAGCCCCGCATGGCTCTTATGCCCAGAGCTCAACCATGGGGTCAGCAGACAGACCACTAAGTGTATCCATTTCTCTCAGAACCCTCATCCTGTCAGCCTGGTGTGGAGGTTCACACCTGCTGGCTCAGCAGTCAGGAGGCCGAGACAGGAGGATTGCTGGACATGCCCCATCTGCCTGGACTACACATAGCGTCCCAGACCAGTCTGGGGTACAGTGTGAGACTGTTCTCAAAACAAAATAAAATATAACAGTGGAAAACAGCAAAATCCAGGCTCCATGGAAGGAGACTCACTCATGTTTCAGAAGGTGAAGCTGTAAACCATGCAGAAGTTCACTCTCTCCCCAGCTGCTGCCATGCTCCTGGAGGATGATGGGATACTGCCCGACCTCCTGGAAAGGAGCCAGGCTGGGCTACTGAGTGGCTGCTACCTGGGGTTAGGAGCCCAGCAGCTCTGGGATGGGTCCACAGTGGGAAGGGGAGCAGAGTGCGTCTTAAAAACCTTTCTCCTCTCTGTCCCCAGGGGTGCCTGCCCCAGCCTTTCCTAAATGGACCCCTGGCCTCCTGAACTGGCCTGTTATGTGGGTCAGTGTCCCTGGCCAGGCCCAGAAGAGAAGAAGGACTCCATGCTGGACCCTTCACTTTCTCCCAGGCCCAACACCGACTAAGCAGGAGGACACCAACCCCTGCTCTCCATTTTGCTGTATAAAGGTTCCCAGTGGGCAGTTACTATTCAGAACCCCACAACCACAGGGAATTGTGGGTGCCTCAGTCAGGCAACCCAGACTATGTAATTGTTCACTTTTGCTCTTCTGGGTCGTCCTGGGTCTCTGACCCTCTGGGCACACATACCCATCTTGTACCCACCCCCGTGCCCATCTCCTGTCCTCTGAGAGGCCCTGGCACCCAGGCTGGGACCTGCCTGTGCAAGGCTTTGAGGCACATGAGGCGCATGGCTTCCTCTCCTTACCTTCCCCCAGCTTTCTGTTCCCTGCAGCCCCCACAGGCTCCACAGACCTTCTACAGACCCACCCCCAGCAAGAGGGACTTGCTCTGCATCCCTTCACTATCCAAATTCAAGGAGGAGGAAGGGGAGGAGGAGGAGGAGGAAAGGGGGCAAGAGGAAGAAGAAGAGGAAGGGGAGGCAGAGGGGAAAGGATTGTAGGAGGAGGAGGAAGGGGGAGGGGAGAAGAGAGAAGGAAGCTTGGCAAAGCTTGCCTGGTGGGGAGGAGGGAGGAGGGGGGCCCTCCTGGGCCCAGAGCAGAAGTCCCCGGTGCGCTGTGGCTGCCTTGCGGTTCCAGCCCGAGGCTCCTGCAAGCACACTGTGGTTGGGCATGATAACCGGCGAGGCGATTCGGAGAATTTCAGAAGGTTTCGTAATAAAAGGTGACAGCACAAAAGCCGGTGATAACAAGACGCTGGGGCTCGGTGCCAAGCAGCTGGGCAACGGGAACGGCAAGGGCTCACCAGGGCAGACTCGGGGAGGGGAGAAAACCCACTCCTTTCGTGGCAAGGGAACCAAAATGGAGGCTTCCTCGTTGGCTTTGGAGCAGAGACAGGGAGTGGGCTTGGAAGGACTCACTTGCTCGTGTCAGGGGTGAGGCTGTGAGGAGAATAGAGATGAGCCAGGTCCACCCCTTTCTGGGCAAGCCAAGTCTGCTCAGGGATTTCACACATACCCCTAGGCCCAGGCCACCGCCCACAAGGGTCAGCCTTTGCAGGTCCCAACAGCTATCCCCTCCGTTCTCCCTTGTTATCAATGTCCCATGGCCCTGGTCAAGAAGGTAGGTGAGGAGGGCAGCACCCTGGTCGGTGGCTGGGAGGGATAGCCTGGAGGGACCTAGGACAGACATTCATGGACACTCCGTGGCTGTGGGGCACACCTTCCCTCAACAGTTCACAGTGGAAGCCTGCCTTGCCCAGGCGCCATCTTGTCTCCCAGGAGCATCCTTCTTCATGCTTCACGGGCTGGGCCATCCCTCCAGGTGTTTCGTGTGTGCCACACCCCCAGCTGTGGTGGCTCAGTGCCTTTACACATGCCTAAGCCCTACTCAGAATGAGTGTCCCTTTACTTTCTGCCTTGGAGACCCTGTTCAAATCATGTCTGTGTGTCTGTCTCTTCTGAGCAGACTCCTGGGCGCTATGGCAAGACTCACCTCCAGCTTCTCCAGCAGGCTGACCATGTGGCATCTGCTTAGCCCACATCCCCATTGAAAGCAGGTATTCTGCCTTCTGCTTCCCATCCAGGTTCTAGGGAGGGGAGCCAGGTCTTAATTTACCTCCTTGCCAAAGTGTAGCTTAGAATCAGGCATTCTGTGTATGTGGATGGGTGAAATTCATGTTTTTCTATGAAGTGAACCCAAATGTCCCTATGCTGAAGGTTTTGTCTTTTTGGAGTAGTGAAAGCTTTATGGGGTAGGACCTAATGGAAGGAAGTAGTCACTAGGGGCATGTCTTTGGGGGGTATGTGTTGTCTCTAGCCCTTCCTTTCTCTCTCCCTCTGCTTTCTGGATGCCATGGGGTGAGCTGTTCTGCTTACTATTCCTCTCCACCATGATGCTATGCCTCATCACAAACCCACAGTGATGGGGCCAAACAACCACAGGCTGAAGTCCCAGAAACCGTGAGCTAGATTACAACTTGCCTCCTGTAAGTTACGTCACATATTTTCTTAAGGTGACATAAACCTAACAAAGAAGATGGGTAGATCAATGGACAGATGGATGCATGCAGACCTACCTACCTACCTACCTGCTAGGATGGCTGGGTGGATGGATGAGTAGATGGTTAGATACAAGGTTGGTTAGATGGGTGAATGGATGGATGGTTTGATACATGTATATGTGCTTTCAGTGTGATGGGTAGTATATGGATATATAGATAGACAGACAGATACATACATGCATACATACATACATACATACATACATAATTGGATATATGCATGTCTGTATAGATGAGGTGGGTGGATGGGTGGGTGGATGAATAGTTTGATGCATGTATACCTGCCTTCCAGTGTGATGGGTAGTGTATGAATACATACATACATAAATACATAATTGGATATGTGCATATCTGTATGTATGTGGTGGGTAGAGGGTGGATGATAGGATGGATGGGTGTGTGAGTGAGTGGATGGTTGGCAGATGGATGCATTGGTGGAATGGTAGGTGTGTTGGTGGATGGATGGATGGATGGATGGATGGGATAAAGGCGGGCTCTGGTCAGGTAAGGGTCCCAGGAAACCTCCAGGCAGAGTAAGAACTTTACAGGCCCACCACCACAATTCAGGTCCAGCAAAGGAAGGGCTATAGATAAGACTTGTCCCTTGGGCATGTGTGTCCCCTCAGGTGGGAGGTCTGGGGTCTTACTGTCTAACAGAAAGCCTCTGCTTTGCCTTTTGTGTGTGAGGCCCTGGCAAGGTTTCTCCCCCATCCTCAGACTTCCAAAGCTTGGGCCCTAAACAACTGCTTGATCCCTGTGAAGAAGTTTGGACCTCAGACCTAGAAGGTGTCCTGGGAACCCAATTTTCTCCTTAGAAATATACCAAAAGACGCCAGCTCCTCCCATTGGCATGCCTCCCCACCTCTAGCCTGCTGTACTCAGAAACAGAAGACGGAGGGCTTGATCCCAAATCAGACTCCTCTCTGGGAATTCCCCCAGGCCTCCCCGCTTTAAACCCTCTCACCACCTGCAATCACACCAGTGCCCACCCCCGGGAGGACACGCCCCCTCCAAAAGCAAAAGCACAGGCACCTGCCAATCACAACAGACACCAGGCACAAGGCAGAGCTGATGCAGGGCCAAGGAAGAGACCAGGGGCTGACAGGAACTGGTTTGAAACAGGCCTAACTGGGCTCTGTTTGGCTCTGACCCACTCAGGAAATGAGTGGTTCAACCTGGTGCACCAGAGCCCCCGTAGGCCATCTGGAAGCCTGACTCTTCCAAGGCTGATCTACTGCTGAGCAGATAGAAGCCCACCATACAGCCCCGTCTTGGTCCCACACAGGCCCCCAGAGACACTCATCAACAAGCAGACCATGACTTCCTGGCCCCTCAGCTAAGTCCGGGGAGACTTCAGCACCTGTCTTTCTCTGACGCATGATGGTTTCTAGAGAATTCTGTGTTCTCTCTGGTCTCCCTCAGAGAACCATTATGCCCTCCCTCCTAGACGGTTCCGTTTCCTCCATCCTCTCTACACTCCCTCCTTGGGGCATCTGCTGTGCCTCAGAAGCAAATGTCTACCTCTCACACCTACCGTGTGAATGAATATAGGGTGTCCACCATGGAGAGCTCGGGACTTGGGGCTAGACACCAGGAGTTTCAAATCCCAGCTCTGCCAAGGATCAGCTGACTGTGCCCGGGGCACCCACGCTGACCTGGGTGATGCTCCTATTCCTCTTGGTGCCGTGGGCCCAATGGTGGCCACCACTTCCCAGGACCGTCCAGAAGGCTGAACGAAAGGGAATGAAAGGCCATGTGCACAGCACCTCACACTGGCGGACAGGAAGTGATTTCTCCACAAAAACAGTGGTTCTCTACACACACACATACACACACACACACACACACACACACACATATATATATACACACATACACACACACATATACACACACATATACACACACACATACACACACACACATATACACACACACATACACAC